CTCCTCACGATGCAGGAGGAGCAGGAGGAGGTGCTGCGCGCCCCCGATGCCAAGGAGGCCCAGGCTAGCCTCCCGCCGCTGGCCGAGTTCAACCCGTTGGGGCGCTCGCGCTCACAGGAGCCCCTCCAAGAGAGCGAATGCTTAATTGCGTTGAACTCGGCCAGCGGCGGGAGGCTAGCCTGGGCCTCCTTGGCATCGGGGGCGCGCAGCACCTCCTCCTGCTCCTCCTGCATCGTGAGGAGCATCCGGAAGGCGACGAGGTGGGCGCCGCGCTGCCCGATGTCCTCGGCGAGCACCTGGGAGACCGGCGGGAGGCGGGAGGCGGCGGGAGGGCGTCTCAGGCGCACGGCGAGGCTGGCACGGCGCGGCGGGCGGCGGGTGCGGGCGCGGCGGCGGGCGCGGGCGCGGCGGCGGGTGCGGGCGCGGTGGCGGTGCCGGCGGCGGCGGGTGCGGTCGCGGGCGCGGCGGCGCGCCGCGTAGACGGGGACGCGCTTGAGGAGCGGCGAGAGTCGCCCCTTGTCGCCAAACGCGCGCATGAAGAGCGAGTCCGCCCCCTCGAGCAGGCGCAGGTTCTTGGGCGTCATCCCGCCCGCGATGTACAGCCCTCCGAGCGGCACCCACTTGAGGGCAGCGCTCGCCGCCTCGGCGCCAAAGGCGGTGGCGAAGGTCTCCATCGTGAGGCGGCACAGCTCGCAGAAGGGCGCGGCCCCGGGCGCCGAGTGCTGCGCGATCACCTTGCCCTTGAGCTCGCCCGCCGCCCCGACCGCCGCGTGCACCTCCGCCACGACCTTGTCCGGGAAGCGCGCCGAGAAGAAGTCGTACATCGTCGCGAGCCCCGGGCCGGAGATGACACGCTCGACCGAGACGCGGTGCTTCTGCCCGAAGCGGTCCTTGAGGAAGCCGAGCAGCTCCACCTCGAGCGCCGTCCGCGGCGCCCAGTCCGAGTGGCCGCCCTCGGACGCAAACGTCTCGTACGGCGACCCCTCCGCGCTCGCCGTGCTGAAGCACTCGCCGAGCCCCGTCCCCGCGCCGACGCACGCCATCGGCGCGCCCGCCACCTTGGGCGCCGCCTGCAGCGTGACGCACTCCTTGGCCTCGTCGAGCGTGAGCAGCCCGTACCCGTTTGCGACGAAGTCGTTGACGAGCCGCACCTTGCCGATGCCGAAGCGCCGCTCCAGCGCGCCGCCGTCGATGACCCAGTCGCGGTTGGTGAAGGAGACGGCGTTGCGCTCGACCGGGCCCGCGACCGCCAGGCAGGCCGCGGACGGCGGCGGCGGTGCGAGGCTCGGGCTCGGCTGGTCGGCGAGGAACGTGGAGACAATCTGAGGGCGAGCGCGGGAAGGGTTGGAGCGCAAGGGGCGGGCGGGGCGGGCGAGGGCGCAAAGGGGGGGCGAGGGCTCGGCTCAGCATGCGGGATGGGCGAGGGGGACGAGCCGTGGCGATGCGGCGGCGGCCCCGGCGGCCCCGGCGGTGTTAGTGGGTGTTCTGTCTGCTGTGGCCGCAGCCGCTTCAACAGCCGCTCGGTGTGGGAAGAGAAGCCGGAGCGAGCAGTGCGGAGCCGCAGCACTGAGCTCCGCGAGAGTTCATGGAGTCGGCTGGGGCTACACAAGATAGGTGGGTGTCTGGTCTGACGGGCGATGGGATCAACGGTGGCGGGGAGGGGGGCATGGGCAATGCGGCGACAGAGCTGGCGGTGGGGCGGCGGAGAGTCGGCGGCGACGCGCCTGGTCAAAGCTGCCAAAGTCTCCGTTGAGGTACTGCGCCGAGTGAATCAGCTTTCCCGGTGCGCGTTGCTGGTCCATGACGCGCGCGCCCTCCTCGACCGCGTACAGCTGCAGCCGCGTGTTTGTGCCTCCGACGTCGCCGACGAGGACGACCGACCTTGCGGCGAGCGGGGGCGAGAGCGGCAGCGAGCGCAGCATGAGGCGGTGGAAGAAGCGCTGCACGGCGGGGATGTCGGAGGGGGCGGCTGACGGCGTAGACGCGCGGAGCATCCGGAAGGCGACGAGGTGGGCGCCGCGCTGCCCGATGTCCTCGGCGAGCACCTGGGAGACCGGCGCGAGGCGGGAGGCGGCGGGAGGGCGTCTCAGGCGCACCGCGAGGCTGGCACGGCGCGGCGGGCGGCGGGTGCGGGCGCGGCGGCGGGCGCGGGCGCGGCGGCGGGTGCGGGCGCGGTGGCGGCGGCGGCGGCGGCGGCGGCGGCGGGTGCGGGCGCGGCGGCGCGCCGCGTAGACGGGGACGCGCTTGAGGAGCGGCGAGAGTCGCCCCTTGTCGCCAAACGCGCGCATGAAGAGCGAGTCCGCCCCCTCGAGCAGGCGCAGGTTCTTGGGCGTCATCCCGCCCGCGATGTACAGCCCTCCGAGCGGCACCCACTTGAGGGCAGCGCTCGCCGCCTCGGCGCCAAAGGCGGTGGCGAAGGTCTCCATCGTGAGGCGGCACAGCTCGCAGAAGGGCGCGGCCCCGGGCGCCGAGTGCTGCGCGATCACCTTGCCCTTGAGCTCGCCCGCCGCCCCGACCGCCGCGTGCACCTCCGCCACGACCTTGTCCGGGAAGCGCGCCGAGAAGAAGTCGTACATCGTCGCGAGCCCCGGGCCGGAGATGACGCGCTCGACCGAGACGCGGTGCTTCTGCCCGAAGCGGTCCTTGAGAAAGCCGAGCAGCTCCACCTCGAGCGCCGTCCGCGGCGCCCAGTCCGAGTGGCCGCCCTCGGACGCAAACGTCTCGTACGGCGACCCCTCCGCGCTCGCCGTGCTGAAGCACTCGCCGAGCCCCGTCCCCGCGCCGACGCACGCCATCGGCGCGCCCGCCACCTTGGGCGCCGCCTGCAGCGGGACGCACTCCTTGGCCTCGTCGAGCGTGAGCAGCCCGTACCCGTTTGCGACGAAGTCGTTGACGAGCCGCACCTTGCCGATGCCGAAGCGCCGCTCCAGCGCGCCGCCGTCGATGACCCAGTCGCGGTTGGTGAAGGAGACGGCGTTGCGCTCGACCGGGCCCGCGACCGCCAGGCAGGCCGCGGACGGCGGCGCAAGGCCGGCCAGGAAGGCGCGAAGGACGTCATCGAATGCCTTGAAGTCGCCGTTGAGAAACTGCTGCTCTTTGATAATCTTGCCGGGCGCACACCCCGTTGTGTACTTGTCGTCCGGCGATATTTCGTAGGCCTGGAGCCGCGAGTTGGTGCCGCCGATGTCGCCGACGAGGATGAGCGAGGATGCCATGAGAAGAGGCCAGGGAGCGAGAGGCGAGCGACGCGGCGCGATGCGAGGGCGCTGATGCAGAGGCACGCAATCAGAGACACGTACCCCTTTTACTCACCTCACTTTTTTTCTTACTATGTCCCTTGCGAGATTGTTTGTGTCTGTGTGTTGCTCGTGCGTGTCGTCATCATCTGTCCCGCGTCCACCCATACCGCGTTGGTGTCCAGTCCGAGCCTGGCTGTTGTTCATCTTTCTACATACATACATGCACGACACTCAGCGGCCTCGCTGGACCAGAAGAACCGGTCCGCGAGTGCTCCGCAGCAACCTCGCTGAGCCAGAACGTCGGCTCGCGAGGTGGGGTGCTAGTATGAGCCCGATACGTCGCAGTGTTCTTGCTCCCAGCGCTTGCGCTTCGGCGGTTAGTGGTGCACTAACCTCCGAGAAACCCTCCGGGGTCGCTCCTCATCGCAAACCCTCCTGTAAGCAGAGTCCTCCTACGGGAATGTACGTACGAGCCATGAGCTGTATCGTCGTCGCCGTCTCTAGCCAGTCACTCAAACTCTCAGAGATGGGCTAAAGAGGATCCGGAGCGCGGTAAGACTCTGGGTCTCTCTCCGAAGGGAGCGTAGCGTACGCGGAGGGAGCTCAGAGTTGTTGAGTTACCCCGTTCTCTGGAACCTCTTGGAGCAAGAGGAACTCGCAAGAGACGAATGCGGTTCGATCGATCGGGCGGTAGATGAGGGATGGTGGTGGGTCGCTTTGAGAACTGATAGGTTGGCGCCTGTCTGAGATGGAGCCGACGCTAGTCGAGAGCGGTGTGAGGGCCTCGTGGCGCTCGGAGGTCCGGCTCCGGCTCAGGTCAGAGGGCCCAGCGACTCGTCGGTTGGGTGTAAACGGGCATTGCCTGTGGTCTTCAACGCACAAAGGGTGTGAATAGAGCTCTCTCAATCCTTCTGAGCACGAAGACCACTCGAACTCTTCTGCAGACTCTAGTGTTTCCGGTTTTCATAAGCTGTGAATAGTTATTGCGCCCGCCGCAGCCCGCCCTATTCACCTGGGTTTCGCGCCACGGGCCACGAGAGCCCTGTGGAAGAGCCCAGCTGGCATGTTCTATCGCCCGGGTGTCGGGCTGTCTGCATACAGACGTCTCGTCGCCGTGGCCGACGCATGGCTAGTCCGACGTGTGGAGGAGTTTGACCTCAGCCAGGCCGTCGGTGTCGGCGGGCTGACGGCGGCCGCCGGAATCGCGATTCGCTCTGCCAGCTGCCAGCAGCCTCGTGTCGCCGCTCTCGTTGGCGCAGCAGCAGCGATTGACCTTTGCGCCGTCGCTCGACGGCGTCACCGCCCATCCGACCCGCGCAGCTCCTGCAGCTCCTGCAGCTCCTGCTGTCAGTCTTCTGCTCTCACGCACCTCACTCGCCGCGCGCGGATTGTGCGCCGCGCCAAGCAGGACACGTGCTCATGCAAACAATGCGAGAACTTGGTTGCGCCGCTTAGTGGCGGCGCTGCTTTAGAGGAAGCGGCAGCGTGGGAAGCAAAGCAGATGGAGGCGGCGCGGCATGCCAAGGAGCTGCTGCTGGCGGAGGTTGAGCGGCTAAGTGCAGCAAGGGCCCAAGGGCAAGAAGGGCAAGAAGAAGAAGAAGAATGTTGGCGTGGGCGATACGGGCGCCGCTAGGCTCAACGAGGAGTGCTGTGCAGTTAGAGAGCTCGTAGGACGTAGCGAGCTCGATTTTGATGAGAATTTGATGAGAAATATCTCAATTTTGAGCAAAAAACGCCAACAAAAATCGGCGCCTGCGGCGGGCCAGCCTCCGGCGGCGCCTGCGGCGGGCCGCTGCCCAGACCCCGTTTACACCCGAGCTATGCCCCACGACCTGAGCCGGAGCCTCCCGCCGTACAAAACGGCGGTCAGCAGAAGGCGCGGGGTAAGGGTTCCCGCCCGCTAGGCTGCCCTCGGCGCCGAGGCTCGACCCGCTTCTCCTCAGTTCACTAGCACAAACTAAAGTTTGTTTAACATGAACTGTATCGTCGTCGTCGTCTCTAGCCAGTCACTCAAACTCTCAGAGATGGGCTAAAGAGGATCCGGAGCGCGGTAAGACTCTGGGGCCGGTCTGCTCGCTCGTGAAGTCGTCGCGAGCGCTGTCGGTGTCGCAGTCGCCCGACTCGGAGTCGTCAGGCTGGCTGCCGGACTGGTCGTAGCCGTCCTCGGCGTCGGAGCCGCCGCCGTCGGACGGCTCCTCGTCGCGCGGGCACGCCTTGGAGGAGAGGTGCTCGAGGTGTGCTCGTTGGATCAGCCTCTCGCACCCCTCGAGGGCGCCTTTGAAAGAGGGCGGGCGGCGGAGAATCCCTCGGATGAACTCCCCAACCTCTTGGTCGTAGTCCCCGAGGGCGCGCTCGACGACGGCGGCGATGCCGCCGACGGAGAGGTCGCCGCCGGTGAGGGACCGCAGGCACCAGTCCGCGAGCGCGCCGGCGTCTGCGCGTCCCGCCTCGCCGCCGAGCAGGAGCGTGGCGACGGGCGAGGCGACGGCGCGGAGGATTCGGAGAGCCTGCTCGAGCTCGCGCTGTTCGTCGGTCCCTGCGCCGTTGGCGCCGAGCGAGCGTCCGGCGAGGTCGCGCAGCCGCGACAGATCGAAGCTGCAGCTTGCGGCGTCGGTGAGCAGCTGGTGGAGATCCGCGGCCGGTGCGGAGAAGGGCGCGCCCCTTGGGAACAGTCCCTTGACGGCGTCCTCGATCTCGTTTCGGAGCCCCCTGCGCGCCTGGTGGATGTACGAGGGAATCGCTATCGCGTTCGTGCGATGCCCCTCGGCGTCGACGTGGCCGTTCGAGAGGATCGCGCGCAGGACGTCGGTCCTGGCGTCTGACGGGGCGAGGTCGGCGGAGAAGGCCTCGCCCTTGGCCGCGGCGGCGCGGGCGGCCTTGGTGACGGCTCTGCCTCGGATCTCGAGCCAAAGGAGCTCCGCGGAGCCGCCAGGCGCCCGCCCCGGCGGCTCACTCGCTCCGCTCGTTCACCACGGGGGCGGACGCCTGGCGGCGCCGCTGCGCAAAAACACCCAGATCGAGAACGGGGTCCCTGCTGGAGGTTCCCGCTGGCGGTCTGCCATACTCGGAGGCGTACTCTTTTACGTCACCGACAGCGATGGGACGCTCGGGCTTGTCTCGGGTGCGGCTGGCGCTGCGTCTTTGTTCTTTGAGTGGCCACAGGTGTGGGGAGCGGGTGGGGCGGCTGCTGCGGCGGAGGCGGAGGGCGGCTGCCCGCCCCTGCCTTCTGGTCCTGAAGGTGCTTGCTGTCACGTCACCAACGAGTGTGAGTCGCCCGAGTACGTCTTGGGCGCGGTCGTTGCTGCGTTGCTTTTTTTGCGAGTCCGCGGGATCGGAGGGCGGGCGAGGAAGGGGGTCGGCGAGATCCTCTGGTGGGGGGCGGCGAACGTGCTGCAGAACAAGCTGACGCGGGCCCAGTACCTCGATGAGGTGACTTGGACCACCAAGAGCTGGCTGGGGCTGCAGAAGCAGCGCATCTCAGTCGTTCTTCACGCGGCCATCGCAGAGCAGATTGTGAATGAGCTTGCCAGCGGCGAGGGCGGTCGAGTGCACGGAGCTAAGTGCCTCGCCGTCCTCGCGGGAGTCGCTTAGGCGGCTCCAGTGGTGTACCTGTGTTAGTGCCAGTGCGCGCCAGTCCCGTGCCCAGTGTTGTGCGGCCGACGTAAAATTCTTTTTAGCCGAACGCCGTTAGTCCAGCCCTAATTGGCCACTGTGCTGCCCGCCGCCTTTGCCTCGATGGTGAGCGAGTTCAGTGACAACCGCCGCCGCCTCAGCATTCGACGACGAGGCCTGTCTTTGCAAGCCCCGCCCCTGGCCGAACACACCTCTGCCCGGCCGTCGTTGAGCACGCCTCGGGCGTCGTTGCTGTCGGCGCTCTCCGGACTTTCTACCCGGCTTACTGTCGCATCTGAAACTTCAAGCGACGACGACTCTGGCAAATTCGAGCCGCTCGCGGAGCTGCAGCGCCAGATTGAGGTATGCACTTTCGTAGTCGGCATCGCGCTCTTCAGCACGCTCGCGCACTGCAATCCGGTGTCCGCCGTCTTCGCGCTCGAGTTGTGGCACTCGCCGCGCCCGCGCTCGGTCGCAGAGCACTGGGTGATTAGCGAGCGTACGCGCGGCTATCTCGTTTGGATCGCCGCCGTCGACCTCATCATCTTCCTGGGGCTAGCCGCAATGGTTACCATTGGCGTGATTCTGACCAACTGCGTCGATGCCGCCACCATCTCTCCAACCGCGGGCTGGAAACCGCCGCTACCGCCGCTGCCACCTCATTCGCCACCCGGTTTTCCGCCGTCGCCCCTGTCGCCCCCGCCCTCCCCAATGTCGCCACCGCTGCCGCCTCCGATACAGCCGCCGTACCGTCCACCTTCACCTCCGATGCCACCGTTGGCCCCTCCCCCCTCGGCGCCGCCACCATTGTCGCCACCCCCACTTCCGCCGGCCTCCCCGCCGCCGTCGCCCCCGATGCCGCCGTCGCCACCTGCCCCCTCGCCGCCGCCAGTTTCTCCACACCCGCCGCATCTGCCGCCCTCCCCGCCGACGCCCCCGAAGCTGCCGCCGTCGCCTACCTCCCCCCCAGACGCCACCACCTCCGACGCCACCAACTCCTTCCC